CAGCACATGGTTCTAAAGTATGGTTTTTGTCTTCTTAGGTAGTTTAACCAGAGCATTTTCGTAAACGGTGCCACCCAGCGTAGAACGAAGACCAAGAGTTACATACTGACACGAATTCGGCAAAAGCGGGACAGAGGCAACTTCCGGTGGGTATCATTCATTTGCGTTAAATTTGTTTGGGTAAGTTGTTTTCTAGACTTGTACGGGTTCTCGTTTCTCGATACGCTATTTCACAGTCAGAGCACGTTGCAATAAGGGACAACAGTTGTAATTCATGGGAAAGCGTTGTGTTTATTGGTCTTTTGTTGCTTATATTAATTCTTATTTGCCCAGGCTGTGTGCTTCTGTCATAATTTAGATCCTTGAGGGCAAAAGGTTATTTTTCATTTGGCGCGTGTCCGATAACAGGTATGAAAAAAATTCTGCTGAGGAGGTTCGATGGCTACGATGAGGCATAATGCGATTGTACTGGAGCTTAATAGACCAATAATTTATAACATAAATAAAATTTCATAATGTTTGAGGTTTTGGCAATGGCACCTGGACTACCGAATTTGGAAATAATTCCATTTCGCATCGCCGCTTACGATAAAACAAAAGGCAAAATGGCGTTTTTCGACCCCTCACGAAAAGATGATTTCATTTTCATCAGTGGAACTAAAATGCGGACATTTGCTCGTGAAGGTACACAGCCACCAGAAGGATTTATGGCACCAAAAGCTTGGAAGGTAACTGTCAGATGGATGCTTTCTTTTAATTAACAGCAGTCCACGCTTTTTCGGAGAATGCTACTGAAGATGCCTCAAAATCATGGGGAAAAAATGGGAGACAGAGGAGTGGGAGGGGAAAAGGGTGCGCCCGCTTTTCGCACTGCTGGATGCATTCTGGATTTTTTCTTCCTTCGCTATATCTTATATGCGCTTTCTTACTATTCTGACTTAAATTCTTTATTAACTACACATCAGATCGACATACTTAACGTTTCTGAATGAATTCGGGGTCGGTTCACTAACTAGTTCGGGAGAGGGCATAGTAAATGACTGCTAATTGTAGTGACAAACCTTTTCATTGTGACTATTGGGGCAGTGCGTCTTCAAAAATTATTTTGTACTGTTAGCGAGTTTTTTTTTATGTTTTTCTCTGTTTCATTTCAGGAGTTTTTTATTATTTACATTTTTTCAGGTTCTGTCATCGTATTACCAAGAATTAGCAAGGAAAAAAAGCTGAAAATGTTTACTTGAAAACCATGAATTGGACGACTGTTTTGTTTTCTGCATTTTAATGTTTTACCTATGCCTGTCGCGCATTACATCAGATTCGTTATCCAATCTGTCATATCGTCATGTGTGTAACCTCATTGCCTACTGGATAGGATTGTTCTCCGTGAGCGCACAAAACTATTGCTATTTTTATGATTTTCTGTGTATTTATACAAATGTAAAAACGCATATTGACAAGAAGCTGTCTTTGTATGTATATATGTGTGCCTGTTCGAACGCAAATAAACTCTCTTACCCATTTTCAACTCAGCAACCGGAAAAGCTAGGAAGCTGAAATTTTAGAAGCATATTCCCATTTCATGCACTACTCCCTGTTTTAAAATCAGCGTTTATATCCCTTAGGTTTTGTATGCGGGTCCTTGAAAAAAGACTTGTAATTTTTTTGGCTAGAAACGATTTCAAGAACCAGCCAACATAAAAAGTAAAAGTTTTGCAAGAATTTCCTTCGTCCATGTGCACTCTAAAGATTTCAAATTCAGCTGTCACACATGCTTGCCTCAAATACAGAACTCGCTGGAGCTTTCTGTTGGCAACATATCAACTCAAAAGCAGGTGAGGAAGGGATAGCTGTAGTTTTACAAGAATTTTTATCGCCCTTGTGGGGAATCATATACCCAAATTGAATTTTGGATTGCACTGCGTCGCACGTTAGGGCATGTCGAAAATATTTGCAGCGAAGTGGCGGCATCGGAAGCCACTGGACCGAACACGCTAGGAAACTGAAATTTTAAAGGCAAACTCTAGTCTAGGTACAAGTTGAAAATTTTAGATTCAACTTTGTTACACGCCTAGGTCTCGTATTATGCATAGTCAAAGTTTCAGTTTTGGACAGTTTTGACATCTACAACGAAATTAAGCAGGAAGCCGAAATTATGTAAAAATGTTTACTGCCCGTGTGCAAGCCTGGAGCTTAAAATTAGTTTCTTCTTTTGCATTTGCCTTATATGCGGACGCGTTAAATATTCGAACTGTAATATTGTTATCATCGTTTTTTCTCCATAGTTAGGCAGTAAAGGAAGCAAAAATTGTGCGAGAATGCTGGCGTATCCAGTGGGTTGGTAAAAAGCACAAAATTCGCTTCCGCAAATCCCAGTGTTTCGCGTGTTGGTATGACGAACTTGAGGATGCATTTTTCCCGCAACTCCTACATGCGGGGTTCACAGTAGTCATATATTTTGGAGATTGGGTTTGCACACGACACCGTAATGCAACGTTACCGATCCAGCCGTTAGCGAACGCTCCCCTTTCACTGCATGTAACAAACGTCCAAAAAAATTACCGCTGTGAACGTGCATGTTGAATTGGAGAGCAACAAACATTCATGTTGACGAACTAGTCATCTCAAGATCTGCGCAAAAACGCATAATCGTACTTGCAGCTCTGGTCTGCTTTGCTACCAATGTTAATTTATACTCTTACAAACCCTTCATTTCTCTGCATTTTTATATTTGTATTTTGGGGTGCTTAGTGCTTAGGAAATACAACGAAAATTTTATATCAAGCAGAGACGAGGTGTGTTATGGTTCCGTCAGGATTGCAGGACTTATTGCAGGACAACCTTTAAACACTTTTTTCAGAGCCATTCTTTGTTTTGCGCTGTTTTTGCCTGTGTTCACTCATTTTTTAGGTTTTTTTTTTTTTTTAAAAAAAAGCGTATTTTTTTCTTTTACGGTGATTGGGGGTAGGATAGGTGAGAATGTTTGTGAACATATGGAGAACGTAATAGTTGCGCAAAATTTGACTAACCATTTATGTATAATTCCTTGTCCTCCTCTCTTTTCGTTTTTCTTCCACTTCCATGCATAACTTAGTGCTCGAAGCCAGTCCTAACATAATTTATCCATTTCGTTCGCAACATTTCCACTTACTAGACATGTAGAGGTCACACTCTGCATTGCTGTTCCGCTTCCTGCTGGCGGTGTTAGTACCAGAGGGCATTCCTAACTTCACTGAACTTGTGCTTATCGGTTCGATTCGGCTTAACAGGCCGAAATGAGATTTTGTTATGCCTGTTTGAAATATTTGTTCATTCCAATGTGTTTTTTATTGCTTTTTTACCAGTTTAATCATTTTTGTGTGATTTTAACATTTGCGTCAATTTTTGCTGTGGTTTAGGGTTTTGTGACGATTTTTTTTATAGGAAACAACACTCATGCATTCTGGCTCCCTCTGTGATATATCATCATTGCTGTCTTGGCATCATTTCGAATTTATTGTCTATGGCTGAAAATAAAAACTTGGCTTAACTATGTCTCTGTTGTACTGGCGTTTCGAGCAGTCCAGGCCCTCATACAGTGATGCTTATCGTTACCAAGTTGCTTCAGAAGTTCGTACTAAAGCATTAAATTGAGAACATGTGGAGGAGGGGATGGATTAAAGTTTCTCTTTGATGGATGGTATTAAGGGTTATGTTTGTGATTATCCTGTGTTGTAACTTATCTACATCAGTTGTTTAGAACTGAGAAGAATTTTTCATTCTTCTCTCTCTGGCTTCTCTCATCCAAATTTTATTCCTGTACAGCTGTTTGAGCTCAACGTTTTACTGCACAAGTGGCCTTCCTTGTGTAGTATGCGTTTTTGCATATATGTAAATTGCAAAAACGCATATTGGGAAGAGGCTGTGTGTGTGTGTGTCTGTGTGTTTGCACTTTTTGTCACCCACTTTCAACTCGAGACCCAGAAAAGCCAGAAGGCTGAAACTTTGGGGGTATGTGCCCATACCATGCGCGACCTTCCCATTTTAATTTCATTTCCCTTGGACGCCTGAGTGTCGTGTACGGACGCTTTAAGGAAATATGCAAATTTTTTGGCGGGAAAGCGATCTCGGGAACTACATGAGCTAAGGGGCTGAAACCTTGTAGGGATATTCCTTGTGCATGTACCTAGCTAAAGATTTCAAATTCATCCTCCAGATATGCGTGGTACTCACGTAAGGGCGTTGAAAGTTTTAGGGGGAAAATTGCTAACTCGGGTACCAGGAAAGCTAGAAAGCTGAAATTTTGGAATAGTGTTCCTTATTCAAGCGCAACTCAAATATTTCAAATTCAACCCCAAGCTGTGCACAGTACTCAGTCAAGGGCGTATGAAAGCTTTTGCAAGAAAATTATTGACTCGCCAATCAGAAGAGCTGAAAGGCTGAAATTTTAGGCGGAAAGTCTTGACGAGAAATTTTTCACTGAACAACTAGGTTACTTTTAAAGAACGACTGTTAGATTGAAATTGTACATTTAATTTGCAAAACTTGTGGTGATTTATGCAAGTGGTCGCAAAAGGTAGGTGTAAAGCAACAGCCATTTATATAGTTAATGACCTGAATAATTCAATTTCGGTGCAAAAACGCATGATCGCACGGGCCCGCCTGGTGCGTTCCAGCCTGGGTTTTGGACTTTGCGAGGAGATGCGATTTAGTAATCAATTTTTTTTTTCCGCTTGTCTCTCATTCTTGCCACATGGACAGCTCAACCTTTTTTCATTTCTGCACACTGCCTTGATAATATCGCATACACCATACTGGAAATGCAGTACTTCACTGAACACGTGCCGCCTCTTGCTGACACCTTTCATATGTCGTTTCATAGTTCATTGGGGCACTGCTGACTTTTTTTAACAGCATGTGTAATATTTCATGTTCCATATCCGTGTAGCAGAGCTGGTATCACTGTTAATTATCTTTAGACAGTGAATCAGAAATGCTCCATTACACACGAATATTGACAATGGCTCCCGAATTTGGAAATAATGCTGTTTCGTATCGCCAGTTACTATAGCAGAAGTGCGCTGGTATTTTTTGCTCCTCACGAAATGTTGATTTCACTCGCATTAGCAGAACCAAAATGCTGACTGC